TGGTGCAATTCAATTCCACATGGAAGAGACTAAAATTGTCTCAGTTGCCTTTTATATATATGTATCAGGACATTTTGATGACAGAATGATTAATGTGTGTGAAGAAAAAATGTGTGGTGATTAATGTGTGTGAAGAAAAAAATGTATGTTGCTTAAGTGGGCCAGATACCACACATGTACATTGCAGTGTAATAAATGTGTCTGTTATTACATGAAAGACAAAACTTTGTAGGTTGTGGTCTCAGAATTCCCTCAAATTGGCTTTGGCTTGGAAAAGGTCATTGTAGTTCAAGAAAATGGAGTCAATATAACTGTGGTTTTTGTTTGATATCAAAATCTGTTCTGCCTCTGTGTTAATGATGGGGAATATTCAGCTTGGTTTTTTTTAAAGCATATTGCTAATTTTTTTTGTGATACTACTTATTTTTATGATACCTGTTATACTCTTTATTTTTAACTCTTATACTATTTATTTATACATTGATTATACCAATATACATTATACTTATAGATATCAGTACAATACAAGGCTTATGAAAAAAAAAGTGAAAGAAAAAAACCATTGTATTCTTTGTTCAAGGAGCAGCTGTGCAAAATCAGGCAGAATATATCCATGGAAAGCTACTAATATATAGAAACCGTGGCTGACTGGTGAGGTCTCTGAGCTGCTGGTGGTTTGAGATTCAAAAAGTGTTCAGGCACACTAACATACAAGCTTGCCATGCTCTTATATGGCCCCTGCTCCTGCTTTTTGCCGTATTCCCTTAGCCAGTGCAACTGCTCTGAAGTGGAGTATTCAGTTGTGTTGCTTCTTTTTTGCCACACAGATTGCTGCAATACAGTGGAAGTTAGCAGTTCTGTTAGCAGTTAATACATGAAAATATTGGCTTTTGTTCACATGAAAGCTCTGCCTGATCCAAACCAAGTGGAAAAATTCATGTTAAATTTCATTGTTATGTTTTCATGGGTAGGATCTGAATAGCAGAGATCTTTAGGTGAGAAAATAAAGTTGTAATGTGTTTTCTATACCTATCTTGTTTTATTAACAACAGCATGAACACAATCCTGTGCAATGTGCTCTGGGGTGACCCTGCTTGAGCAGGGAAGTTGGATCAGATGATCCATTGTGGGCCCTTCCAACCTTACCCATTCTGTTGCTTTGTGATTCTGCACTACTGTGAGTGACCCACAGGGCAAGGAAGTTTTCCTATGTAGGAAGTGATTTGGTTTGGTATTGCTGTCTCTGATGCACAGTTTGCTTGTGCCAAAGAACCGTAAGAGCTTAGTTCAGGATGCATTAAAGGAACTTGCCTCTCAGCTCTTTGGCCCAGCACCTCTCCTCTTTGAAACCCTTCTGCATCATAACAAGAATGCTATTAGAGGAAAGAGTGTAAACATCTTTCACCACCTCAGTTCACCATCAAATAGATTTTCCATTACTTGGTATTAGGTTCTATGTTGGCAGGGGCTGATGTAGTTTCAGAGTGAATGTATCTTAGTAACTAATCCTTGCTACCTCCTTATGAGGTGATTTGCTAAGTATCTGACAGATGGGGAAGTACGAGAGTGCAAGGCGGTTTCAGAGCTGGGATTAGAGGGCTGATGTCCCAGGCTTCTGGTCCTGCGCTCTGCGCAACCACGAAGCCAACCTTTCCTGCCCATCTCCTGTTACTCTCTTGGGACAAATTCCTATTGAACGTTATTAATAAAGACAACAGGGGAGTAATCTTGTTGTCCTAGTCAGAAGGGAAAATGTTCTCTTAGTTCTGTGCTATTGTATGAAATTTAATGCTATCGGTCAGGAGACCTTAAATAACTACATTAAACAGCCGATTTGGTGCCAGCTTTTCTTCTTATTTAGCTTAGTCTAAACTGACACCAAACTTTGAGACTTCCTCTCCTCCCACAGTGGAGAGCCGCTGGGATTTTTTATACCACACATGGTTTCCCTCCTACATTTTCCTCCCATGTCAGATATTCATACCCCCTTTAATAACCAGCAGGGGGATCATTACATTGAGCTACTGCCAAATGCATAATGACTGCTGCCTTTGCCTTACACAGTCACTGCACTACTGATATCCAATTCAGCATTGTAAAGTGCTTAGGGCTACCTTGGGGATGTGCTATATTAAACCCAACTATTCTAAATCCTATTTAATACGAAGAGATTGGTGGTGGGGGAGGGGGGGAGGGAGATTTAAAATTGTCATTAGTCACCTATTTTCAACAAGTAAAAATACCTGGTCACTTAGGGCTCAATTCTGTTGCTGTTAAGTCATAAATAGACCCACTGATTTTAGTAGGGGATGCATGGAGGTAAGCACTCTGCTTACCATGGGGGGAGGCAGAATTGGGTCCTATAAAGCTGTGACTGAGACAGTAAGTTTGCAAGAAGCTGATGGGGGTGAGTGCACCCATTTCTGAATTCCCCTTACAAATGTTTTACAGTGGAAACAGGAAAGCGGAAACATGCTTCATATCTGACTAAAAATAAAGGTACTCTTAAACTTGTAAAAGGCAACATTTTTATTTGAATGATATGACAGAGCTGCCACAGGAGTGTTACCTGCTATAAAGAAAGCTTAAGAATTATTACCTTTATTAGACCAGTGACACTGAGCTTTAGCCATACATTTCTAACTTCTGTCCCTCTACAGAGACAATTTTCTTTTCTTAAATAAACTGTCATGCTAGTGTTAATATATTGTTGGCTCCCTCATACTCTGAGAATACTGCTGATATAAAACATGTATATGTTAGATTGGTAATAGTATCTTTAGTGTAGCTGACTAGAACAAATGTGTTTCCCTCATGGCTGTGCTAATGTGATAAAGGAAAATTGGCTGTTCATCAGCTTTTGGCTGGGTAAAGACAGTAGAGATGGAACCACATTCTTTTTTATGCATTAATACCACTGAGAACTTTTCACTAGTTATATTTCATGTGCGGGCATGTTGTGCAAAGATGTTGTAAAACATGAGATAATGCTACAAATAACAAAGTAGAAAAGCCTGTATCTTTTATGATGATAACAGTCAAACACCAAATGACAGTAACAGGCTGTAAAAAATGTGATGCAGAAAAAAAATGCGATGTAACCACCACATATACGTATACTTAGGCTCTTGCAAATAGGGCATCAGATGTTTAGAGGGCTTTGAATTAAAATTAAATAAAAAACTGTTGTATTTAGGTCATTGATGTGTCAACACAAAAGATAATTTAAAATGGAGAGATGTATTTTGAGTGGTGAAACTCATATGCAATAACTTTTTGAACAAATCTCCAGGCTTAGTAATTATGATAATAGCCTTCAAATTTCCATCAGTGGAAGGGCAATAAATATTCCTGTCTAAATTTGGGAAGTATTGACTGAATCTGGAAATGGCAATAAAGCTCAGCATGCATGTGTATGTTTGAAAGTGCAGTTTAAGGAGGAAAAATTCATCTGTACAATTTTGTGTGAAGCCTAAAAAAAAAAAAAATAGTCCAGACAAAACCCTCCATCTTATTTCATGTTTTCTTTCTTAAAATGCTGATAGACTCATGTTGCCTAAGGCACTGATGCTGATCATCTGAGCTCAGATTTATAGATAATTGTGTCCGTTTATCTTGGTCTGAAATTTGAAAGACTTTATTGCAGAATAGTATTGTGAGTGCTTATATTGTGGTTTTCAAGCTGGTATCTTGTTAACTGGTAAATAAGTTCTGTCTTTTCTCTTTGCAACAAATTATTCTGGCTGGTAAACCTTTTGTGTCCTTACATAGATATTGTTCTTATGGAAGCAATTATTCCATGTTTATTTTGTTTTGATTAGCATGACTGTCAAGACGGGCTAAAGCACTCTAGTTTTATCTGGCCTTGATAGACACGATTCATCAGGCATCCATATCTGCAAAATTAAAATACTGCTCTGTAAATTGGCAGCAAAAAAATGGTGTTTCAAATGCTGAAAGCTACCAAGTTCTCATGTGAAAAAAGCCTTATGCAAGCTAATTATTGCTAAAAATCAAGTAATTTCATTTTTGCAAATAAATCACTTTCTGAAATAAAAGTTTTGGATAAGTTCAACTTAGTTTGAAGTATAATTAACTTCATTAATGGGAAGCTGACTATAGCCATGATACCTACTGTTTTCATTTTGTATGGACCTATATTTTTTAAATGAGAGGATTGAATTTCATAAAATGCAAGGCTGAAAGACATTCCCATATTAATAAAACTTTCCTAATTTTAGGTAACCTAAACCTGAGGATTTTTAATGCGAAAAAAAGTACTTTGTAAAAGCTCAGCATCTTGTGACTTTGTGGAGCTGGGAGAACGCCATAAAGTATTTCTATGAATGTTAGCTCAGATTTAAAATGAATTGGCAGGGAAGGGAACACTTGCAGAAAACAGTACCCTGGGGTGCTGGCTGAGTACATATTCCTAGCCAAGGGTTCCCTTGATGCGAGGGAATTAGCCACTGGGTGTAAAGCAGATGTAGGCAGTTCCTATACCATTCCCTTCAGCTCTTGTAGAAAGTAGCATGCTGGGGTTAGGGAGGTGTTTTGGAGGGGTGTTAGAGGCCTGGCTGAAACGTGCTGTGCTTGGTTATCCAGAGCATGGTGTACAGCCCCTTGAGGCCTGTTTGAACTGATGTGTATGAGAAGAGCTGTGACAGCTATAACATGTGCCCATGGCCTGAAGTGGTGATATAGCTGTAACCAGCCTTGTACCGTGTGAAACAGACCCACCCTTCTCCTTTTCCTCTCTTCCCCCTCCCTGCCAGATCCCTGTACTGTAGTTTCTTCTTTGATTTAACTACTGTGGAAATTTTATACCTTATGCATCTGGATGGACAGAAAACTGCTTTCAGTAGGCACTGAAAATAAAGAAACATAGCAGAAAGGTTGAAGTAATGGTATTGGTTGATCAGTGATAAACTCAACATGTAGAGAAATCAAAGTGATTGCATAATAAACCACGTGTTTGTCCTTTTACATTGACTCTCTAGGTGCATCACAGCCGAATTAGTTTCTTCTTGAATGGCTGGGAAGATGACAACACACCTTTTGATTCAAGGATTCTTAAGGGAACAGTTGCAGATACTGATGCTGATGGTACTCTGCAAATTGGACAAAGCTTCACAGGTGAATCTTGTAGTATTTTAGTGGAATGCATTGGAATATACAAAATAAAATATGCATCTTGTGGTTAAAAGAAGTGTGTGAGTAATTTTAAGTTATCTATATGCTAAGAAGTAATACCTTCCTGCAGAAGAAAATTCCTATTATACAATTAGCTTTCTCAAAAGACTGGCTGAAAGATAGAAGTTTGGTAGATGATCCAGTAGGATAATAATTTATTCTATATGTGTTACTGCATATAGGTAGGTTTTCCTGCCTTCTTTAAAACATGCACGTAAAGTGACACATTCCAATAATTTATGTTCATAGTTTTTCTGAGTAAATATATACAAGTATTTCAGAATGGAATTGTGCATGGCCACTAGACAATGCTCCTCTCTGTGCAGACTCAGAAACAGAGCTGAAGATTTCTGGCTGTCCATGTTCTTCAGTTCTATCAATACTGATGTAAACAACTAGCAGAATGAGAATCTTGCAGCCTAGTAGTGCCTAATAGCTTTACTCTTCCTCTGCATCTAGAATTTTGTATGTACTACAGCATGAGATAGTCATAGCAGAATGGTGGGGAATGTTTTGTTGCTTTTCACAAATTCTTGTCTCTCCTGGTCTAAGAACACTGACTATTGCTCTTCAGGAACATGCACAATTTGAAGCTAACTCCTAAATACGGCTATGTGTCACTTAAAACAACTTTATTGTGGGCTTGGGCAAGAAAATATTCTGTGCTCCATTCCTTAAAGCTTGTATTTGGAAATGTGTTTTGTTGTAATTTTGATTCTGAATCCTGGAAAACTAATAATTGTATAAAAGAAGATAATATTTTAAAATGCTTTTTATCTTTATTGTATAAATTGATAGGTACAGTTGTACCTACTGTATCTCTTCTCTAATTAGAGGTGGCACATGGACTGGCTCATTACTTCTGTCTAATGAGCCGATCCCTGTGCCACCTCTCTAATCAGAAAAGAGATAGGTACAAAATGTTCTTATAAAGTTATTATAAATCATTCTTTTTTATGAAAAAAATTAAGCCACTGCCCCCTATAGTTTTGTCCAGGTCCAAGATGGTTTCATTCAGGAGGGGTAATTGTGCAAGAGAGATCTCTGAGTGCTGAATTAAAGGTGCTCTCATGCAGTGCAAAGCTGCCTTCTGCTCAATAGATTATTTATAGTATATTTCCTTAGGTTTAGAGCAATTTGTTGGAAGAATGCAAGATTTTCGATTTTACCCAGTGGCACTTACAAACAGGTAAAGAACTTTTATTTTTGTAAAAAAGTAAGAGTGAGGCGAGAAGACAGTGTAGATAACAATATGCTTATTTCCCAAAGTACAGTGCTTTTCAGATATTTTCTTTAGATGATTGCTTGTGATGATGTAGTTTCCTGAACCTCGTTTCAAAGATTACCCTTAATCTAAAAAATCTTGAGTTAAAATAAATTCAGCAACTTAATGTGTTTTGCTTTTGAACTGTGCTTAAGTAGGCTTAATATATATAGCAGTATATGTAGCGTATATATAGTGCAACACAACACTCAGCAATAAATATGTGCTTTCCTTCTTATTGTTGTCCTTGTTACAATCTGACTTACTATGTATTCTGCAGAGAGAAGATCCAGTTGCTAGATTTCAATGCTTATAAACTGTCTAGGTGTTATCTACTCATCATAATTCTGACATAATAGTGTGTGCTGATAAGCTTAGTCCTGGTGGATAAGACTTGCTAAGAGCTTTCTCAGAGCTCGGTGTAAACTGTAAGGCAAGGGAGGGAGCATAGTGGACTAGTCCTTTTTAGACCACTCAAATACCAGTGATCCAATTGAAGAGGACAGACACTCTAATTTGGTTAGAATGTTGGCTTTGTGGCTGCAAGCCTGGCTCACTGTGCTTAGCTGTTCCTTTCCCCTGGTTTCAGATTCCCCATAGTATCGGATGTCCATGTTGGCTATTCTAGGTGCTTCCCCTGCCCCATGCACACACCCTTACCCCGAGGTGCCATTGTCTGAACTGTTCCTTGCTTTCTGTATTAGATTGTCACCATAAGCTGCCAATGACTTCGCTGGCTCAGCCCACTGAGCCCTGGGCAATTGCTTCGACTTCCTCCACTCCTGAGGCCAAATTACAGTTGCCAGTGCAATTTCTGTTGCCCTCCAGCCTCCCTTCCTAGCACATTACAAAGAAATGTTACCTTTGTTATCCAGCTCATGCTGGATTAATCTAGTCAATTCAAGCTGACCAGAAGTAGTCAGGTCCTATTTGTCTGCGTGGTGCTTCTGGGTAGGCTGCTTGCAATGACACTCATGACTGCAGACCTTAAGGCTACTTAATGATAGTCTTTCAATAAGATGTAGAGCAGTTTCCTAGGAGCTCAGCTGTCTGCAGGACATTATGATGAACTGAGCTCCTCTGAATTGAAAATATTAATGTGAATCTGAATTCCAAGTTTTATGAAAATCATTTTTTTCAAAGCAATGCTTGTCAAATCCTTTGAACTACAATTTAGGTCAATGAAATGAATAAAGTTTAACAATTGAAAAATAAGATATTTTACAGAATGTTTTGGCCTAGTGATGTCTTTGTAGATTTGATTTTATATCCACAAATAACTTCGTCCAAAATGGGATAAACTGTGAAGGAAAGTCTTTCCTGTGTGCCAATTAATTTAAGGCTATGTCTATGTAAAGGGCCCTATAGCTTTGGGTTCTGTGGAATTTGTAGTGACAGCTAGCAAGGATTTATTTACTTAAGAAGTACACAAAAATTATGTTCTTACTCATAAAATAGGAAAATGGGAAAAGTAACAGGTTTTTAATGTAAAAATTCAGTATCTTCTAGGCTTACAAAATCTTTCTTTTACACCAGAGAAGAACAGATAAAGACCTGCCCATGTCATACATAAATCTACCTGCTTGCCTGCCTACCTCGCTCCCTCCCTATGTATCTATTTCAGTTGCTGATGTCAGAGGAAACTCAAATGACTCAATGATTTGACATGGCTGTATTGATGGCAAACTGGGGCAGCTAAAAAGTAGGCATTTGTATTAAAATTAGTTAAAAGTAAAAATATTTCTGTCTAGGTTTCCTACGGTGCAATGTGATATTGTTCAAGGTGGTCTTTTTGGTGGATTTGAGTGCAAACATTCAACTTTTTTGTGGTTACAGGCAATGTGTCAACATTATGGTATCCTTAAGAGCAGTATCCAGACCACTAACTGCAGCCAGACATGATGCTGCAATAAAGTGTTAAGAGTTTTTCTCCTTCCATATATGGCTAGATTCATCCTATCTAGCTATAGACACCTCAACAAGGAACTAATTTCCCTTAGTACCATATGTCTGAGGAATTTCATATATGTGGAGCAATGAAAGCAGCTCTGCAGTGCTTCTTCTGAAGGTGCCTGCTGCTTACCATAGATAACATAGAGAACTTGTGGGGGCTTCATTTGCAGCTGATTGCCCCATTTTTATGAGCCGAAACCAGGCCTTTAGTGCTTCTACTATAATCTAAACTGAATTTTGTTTAATCTAAGACCCTAGAGGCACAAAGTGGCATTTGTCCTTTTTTGTCATGTATGTAATTACTTTTCTATATGCTGTGACAGAGACATTTTGGAAGTATTCTCTGGAAAATTCCCTCATCTTCATACCCAGTCTGAGTGCCGCTGTCCTGGAAGTCATCCCCGAGTGCACCCATTGATACAGAGGTACTGCATCCCCAATGGTGCAGATGATACCACTAACGACAGAGTGCTGAGGTTGGATGCAGAAGCCCATCCTCTGTATTACATCAATGATGATGACATTGGGACCACTTGGATTTCATCTGTGTTTGCTAATACTGCAGGTCTGGATCGTGGTGTTTCAATCACAATAGATTTGCAAAATGGACAGTATCAGGTAATGGGAATATTACATTTGCTATTTATTAAATAAGAACTAAGAAAATAGTTTTGTAGGTGTTTCATTTACAATTTTGAGGAAATTCAAACCTTATGCTTTAAAATTTTATCCTTAGAGGATCAGGAAGAAAGCTTCCTTTTTTTGGTGTGTAACAGTGCAAAAGGCAGAATGCATTATGGTTTTTGTCATTCTCTTTTGATGTTGTAACAAGCAGTAATCTTGAATAGATATACCAGAGAGGATATCCTGTCTGAAGGCACCAATATGTAGGAACTGATTGCTGTCTTTTACCTCCACCTTTATAATCTTCAACTTTAGTTTTAATTTCTATTAAGGCTTACAGTGCTTGTTCCATACCTCTGGTAGAAAACTGACTGCAGACGAATGAAGTTGAACATGTCGAAAGCCCACTGACTTATCAGAGGGGATTTCTGTTTTGTAGATATTCTGGAGACGGTAGTTTAGCCTCCCAAAGAATATGGAAGGAGAAAATGATAGGCAGGCCTGGTTACTGAAGAGGCCATATTTCATCTAACACTCCACTGGGCTGTTGAAGAGTGTCAGGATGTCTTGGAAGGAGGGACTTATCAGGAATGGGGCAGCATTCACAACAGGGAATGCACCAAATTTCTATGTATTCTTGCTAGCTTATTATTCTTTTTTTTTCATTAATGGTGAGAAGGGAAAGAATATGATGACAGGTTTTGGCTGCGTAAGTAAGAATTAGTCCTTTAGTTAAAAGCGATTTCAAATATATGTGACATTCTAGGATTTTGCTTATTTGCTACACATATTTCTGCACAAGCAGTATGCTGAGGGAAGTGCTCTTTAAAACAACACAGGTATTTGATAAGATTCTGAGCTAAAAATAGAGAGAATCCTGAAAGAAAAAGTACCTGTTATCAGACAAATGACTCATCAAATATTTGGCAACACAGAATTATAACCTTCATTTTTGCCAAAATAATATTACTGTAAGAAATCATGGATTTTGTGGTGCATTTTCAAATGATCTTCAAGAAAAGGTGGAGTTCTGATGCACAGATCAGTAGTTGTGTAATAGTGTCTGAGAGTTCAAAGAGCTTGTTTAACAAAAAAGGTTATCTTTAGTTTTAATTGGGAATATATGGCCTGAAATATAGCTGCTTCTTCTGCCTGTGAGTGGTAGAGCAGACTGTGTAGTCACATAGAAAAATGAAGTTCATATTCTCATTGTTTTACAACTTAGCCATTAATATCAGTTCATAAATTTGTTATCTTCTTGTAGGTATTCTATATTATACTGCAGTTCTTTAGCCCACACCCTGAAGCAGTAAGAATAGAAAGAAAAAAAAGAGATGATCTAAAATGGGAAGACTGGCAGTATTTTGCTAGAAATTGCAGTATTTTTGGAATGGAAAACAATGGATCTCTGGAAAAACCAGACTCTGTCAACTGTCTCCAGCTTCATAGGTATGAGTGGGTATTATCTGCATAATACAGATGCTTTGAACAGGTAACATCCTGACACAATTTCTACGTCCCAATGAGATAGAATCTTTTAATTTGGTATACTCATTTATTATGGACTACTGAATATATAAAAGATCCTAAATCTGACCTTTTGATTGCAGATTTCCAGAAAGTCATCTGTCATTTTTATCATATTTTAGTCATTTATGAATGTGACACAATTGATTCCTCGGTTATTTTTGTGCTAGAGTTTTGAAATTTTATGTGCTTGTGTTTTGAGGGGCTATTGTCAGTAGAATTACAGAACATTGAGATGATAAGTGGAGGAAGGTATTGACATAACAGATTGTTTTAAACTGTCTAGTGGATATGGAAGTCTACCTTCTGATCTCTGAGAGTGGAACTTATTCTGAAGTCTAGAAAAGAGGCCAAACTTAAGTACAAAAGCCAATCATCCAGCCTTATTAGGGGTCATGCAAAACATGTAAGAAATCTCTTGAAAATGATATCTTGAAACTTTCTAATCTTTCTAAACAAAAACCAATATAAAACTGTTGGGGGGAGGGGGATAAGGAGGGTCACTAGCTTTTAGAAATATGTTGCATGCCCTTTTACTGACAATGAGCATGTGCATATTTAAAGCTATATAATATAAAATATACATTTCATAAATATAGTGTATGACATCTATAATAGTTAATATGTTATCATTTTACACACACATGCATGTATGTACACACACATACACATAATTGCATCTGTACCACTACATGTATTCAAATGCATTATCTCTTGGCTGAATTCAGCTGCCAGTCAGTATTAGGCTTGTTTAGTATTTAGCTGAAAATCAGTGAGAAAATACATTACCAGGTGCTGTAGGTATTTTGCTTTTTTTGTTGTTTCACTTTTACTACTTGTCTAAGACTTTTCAAGTGTCGACATCACTGTCTGTTCTCCAGGAGTTCAGAATTCTGAGGAGAGGAGCATAAGGTCATTTGAGTTACACCACTCTTCAGCAAAGGAATCTGAGCTTTATTGCTGATTCTTGGAACAGAGGGTAGAGGAGAAGGGAAATATCTTAAGTAACCCAAACATTTTTGGATAAATAAAACAAATGAGGTGTAATGCCATTTTCATCCCAGAAATACATATTTGTATATTTTCTAAAAAGAACTGAGGAGTTAAATATGAACTGTTTCTGTAAATGTTTTGTAAGCAGCACTGTTTCTGCTCTTCAGTTAAAACATAAATGATGATAGGAAGTGATACAAATGAATGATTTTTGGGTACAGCTGATGTACAGAACACTTTGTTTAAAAATATATGGTGAGTATATACCCTATAATGGTGAGTATTCTGTGTTCTCAAAGAGTAGTTACTGTTGAAACAATGCTCCAAATTTGTGTCAGCAGTGTAACAGAGTTCCCTTTATAGGAGGATTTTATGGTAAACCAAAACTGGTTTCTCTCTCTTTCTCTCCCACCCACATACTTGTACCTGCCAAGACATGTCCAAATTGTCTGTCCAGGATTTAGACACCAGTGTGCTTGTTACCTGGTGGCCTAGCCAGGATCCCTGGGTTGATATGGAAGGCAAATGACCTTGGCTTTGAAATCCTTACCATGATTTGAGAGTTCTTGTTTTGGTGACCATATGCTAGTACTGAATGGACTTTTTTGTGTCCTTTAGGAAATGAAAGTGATTAAGGTTTTTGTTTCTCCATCCTGTACCACCTGTGTAAGTTAGGAGTTGCTTGCTGTCCTTAATCCCCCTATCAGAGGCCTGAATCTTTGCTTAGTCTGAATATTGGCTGACCTTTATTTTAGGATCTCCTTTGTTTTCCTGGTTTCCTGAGAAACCGCATGTAGATGCCCTAAAATCTTGATGACCTGCTTATCTAGTTACCATCAGCCTTACAGTCTTTCTGCTGTTCCTTCTGGTGCTTCCATAACAAGATGGTGGTGTTCGTCTGCCATTTGTACCTGTCTAAACATTTACATTACAGTTCTACATGCCATGGCAGCAAAAAATATTTTATTTAATTTTCTGCAGAGTGGAAGAGAAGACAGTATCCCCTAGAGAAAAATACCAATATATTCCACTGAGATTTTTATGAAACACTGACCTGGATTGGGGGACAGTAAATCCAAAGATTCTTCATGAAGACAGAGGAGTATGACTCAGCAGACCTAGTCTAACTAGAAATCTCATCTTTCAAAAGCTCTGAGATATTTTGAAGTGACATTTTTTGAATGTTGTATGTCAGGTGCCAGGTGGTAACATGGGTTATCTGTTTTTAATGAGCCCATGTAGGTGTGCAAATAAGCAGGCATTCTTCTCTCTTGCAGAGAGAAGCCTCATAGCTAAACTCTGCCTAGTACATATAATAACATAACATATGATTCATATCAAATTGTCCAGTTTATATATAGACAGCCTTCGCTTGAATTCTCAGGACTGTCCTTCCCCTTCTTGGGCTTAAATATACAGTTTTACTCTCAATTCTACCGCATTCCATTAAATTCTCTTGTACTTCACTTGCATGTGTTTCTAACTCTGTCCACTCTTCACATGAGATTATATGGTCCAGTGAGTCTGGAATTCAAAAGATAATAATTGTTTCTGTATGGTTTTTAAATGTGTTTAGAAGATATATAATTAACAATATGGACCTGTTAATTACTCTGTTAGTCATTGGAATGGTTTCCTTATGTGGTTCAAGCCTAGTTTATGTTTCTCAGAGTGTTAAACTTTTTAAAAACTTAGTGCAGATGACACTGTATCAGTCACACTTTATTCCTATTTTGAAGTTGCCTGCTAGAGGCTTTACTTTTAATTGGAAACCTAGGATCTGGAGAAGAGTGTGGTAGTTTGGGGCAAAACAGACATACAGAGGACATGTCTTTTTCCCTTCTTTAATTCCAGTGACTCGGAATCCAGTGACATAAGAATTTTTACTCAGAAAGCACAAAAAACCCTATGTACAGTTAAGTGGAGACCCTCTCTGAGAAACAGGATATTAGGAGACAGAATCTGTAAAATATTTGATATTTTGATTTTAATTTGCCTTCCTCTCTATTTGAACAGCTTTACACCGTATTCTCGTGGTAATCTGACTTTTAGTGTTCTTACCCCGGAACCAAATCACCGACCTGGTTACAATGATTTTTATAATACTCCATCTCTCCAAGAATTTGTAAAAGCTACACAAGTGAGGATTCATCTCCGTGGCCAGTATCATACCAGTGAACCTTGGGTAAATTTCAGGCACAGGTACTACGGAGTTAATGAAGTTACAGTCAGTGGAAGGTAGGTGTTATGTGGCTTTTCCCACGCTGCCTCTTACTGTTGCAGCTGTAAAAAGCATATAAGGACCTGACTAAAATTTAGTCAAATTTTTTTTTTGGTTTTACATTTATGAATGAGAAAAGAATTTGTTCTAAAGCAGTGTATTGAGATTGAAATTATTGGTGTGCTGTGTTTTTAAAACATTTACTCACATGTGATTTTACAATTATTTATACTTAATACACAAATCTATCAAAAGCAGTCCTTTCCTTGGAATTATTGAGGCCTCTAAGCAAAGGCATTGGTACGATGAAACGATGGCTTGTGCTTTGCCTCAGTAACTGTTCCAAGTTGTAGATTCTCAGTCATGGTAATTTTAACAGTCTTAATGCAGAGCTCATTCTTTGTTTTAGCTGAAGTTTTCCTTTGAAAATCGGTCAGCTGTCAGTAAAAGTATTACATTATCTGTGACTGACAACTTTATTGTATATGATAAGTGTGCTGTCTTGTGAAAGGACTAATTATGCCCTGTAAATAATATGCAGATTTGGCAATGAAATAGTTTCCAAGGATCATATGGTGCAGATTTTTGATAAGTAGTATTATTCCTGAAATTATTTTGGTAGTTCTCATTTTGAGGGAAAGAACCCCATTAAAGATCATGTTTACCTTAAAATTTTCTACATTACTAATAAATTTTGATTATTGATTTAGATGTGTTATGATAATGCGTTTACTAAAATAGCTTTGTCTTGGTGACGGTATAACAGTAAAATAATTACAGCCATGGTTTGCAAAGCTGTGCCATGCCTCCAGAAGAACAGCCCTTCAGGTGGAATAGTATGGTTATTAACTAATATTCTATACAGATTTTATTTTAGTAAGAAATGGACATTTTAACTGACATAAAATGTGTTAAATTGCAAAATTATGCCTGATATGGTTAAGGTTTCTTTGAAAAACTAGAGCCACACTGTAAGGCTTAATATTGATGAATAATTATAATAGATTTGATAGAATTTTACATATTAATATTGCATACTGAAAAACAGTTTTCATTACATATTATATAAGGTAAGAGTAGCTTACTAAATGTTGGTTTTTGTTCTCTTGGAAAGCAGTTGTTGATGCTTAAAAATATGTTGAGTGAAGTAGTCTTTTGTAGGTTATTGGACTTGAGAACATTCTCTTTGGTGACATTTATTTGTATTTAATAAAGATCCAGACTATGTAATACACTAAGTTGACTTTGTTGGACAGATATATTGTATATATTGTTGGACAGATATGTTTTCATATTTTATTCTTTTCACTGCCTATCGTTCTTTCAGGTGTAATTGCCATGGCCATGCTGAAAACTGTGACACAGCTGTGAAACCGTATAGGTGCCTATGCGTCAAGGAAAGCTATACAGAAGGAAATAATGTTAGTGTCTCCTTTGTCTGTCTACATCATCTATGAACAGCTTCAAAACTGGAATTTTAATCCTGGGAAAGAGTGTTAAGGGTGTTAGTCTAGTCCTATCTTTTATAGGGAAACTTCCCATAGCAGATTTGTATTAATTAAGGAAACAAAAAACTTCCACTCCTCCCTTCCCCACCCCAAGCCATTTCCACCATGGACCATTAGGAGTGTTCGGGATGTTGTTAGAGGATTAGGCCACTTTCAAACATTAGATACAAACCTGAGTTTAGACTGTGAGCATCTAGTAAAGATTGTTTCTCTGCGTGCTGTAGCAACCAGCAAATGTCCTATAGAGTGAATGTATTACTCCATGGTGGTTTTAGTCTGGTCCTATGAACTCCAAACCCATTCAGTAGGTGGAATGCAGTAGGCAGCTTCCAATTTAGTTTTATTTGAAAGGCAGTTCAAGTGGTCCATGATGCAAACCAAGGCATATTAAATGCAAAATTAGAATTTTCCTTTTTTTATAATAGTTTTATAATTCTTGGCCATAGGAGAACCAAACCGGGGTTGATTGTTGTAAGTCATGGTATGCTACATAAAATGTAGAGGAGAGCATAGACTAATGGTACTAGTTTGCACTTATCTCGTGCAGCTTTTGATTTTCTTGGAAGCTGTTCAAATACAACTTAGCAAAGGCAGACCAATGATGTATGAGTAAAGAAAACATGCTCAAAGTAAAGATTCTGTCCTTAGATTAATTATTTATCTCAAAAGAAAAAAAAAAGAAAGGAAAATAAGTTGGGGTTAAGAAAGAATGACCTTCATGTAGAGAATGAATCTCACAATCTCACTGAATGTTAGATTTCCATTGTGAGTACTTGTATTCCTTGTTACATTTGTGCCTTTTGGAAGTAGCCTTTCTAAAACTTAAGAAGGGGCTATGTGGAATAGCAACAACAATAGCAAAGGGGAGACTAATCTGCCATCAGAAAAAACCCAAGCAGTCAGTGCTTGCTGGAACAGAGCAAGGAGTGTTCACCTGTGAGCATTTGATATAGCTTTTATGATGAGATGAAAGATCTTCGTCAAATTTCATAGGGGATTTAAGTTTTCTCATTTTTTTAAGCAGAAGTGTAAGATCTACAGTCTAAATGGGACTTGAACAGAAATTTCAAGTTTTTAGATGGGTCAAATTAGAAAAAAAAATTCAAACTGACAGTGTCCCTTTAATTAGAACACACATTGTGAAATGTTACTTTGTAAGGATTAATTATAAATATTTAATAAGATCTGGAAGTTCACCAAGCACTCTTGCAAGACTTATGCTACCTTGTGAAAACAAACCAAATACATTTTAATGATGTATCTGCCTTATCAGATATTTCCTGTCAATGTTAATGGGTTGTTCCACTGAGTGTCACATTTTTGAATTGGCATATATGCATTGTAACTGTAATTGAAGTGCTTAAATTAACTGTATTAATTCAGAGTACAATAAGGATGTTGTTTAATTATTTTTCTCATTCTTTAATAACCATGTCAGTATCTATTAAATATGAAATAAAATAGTAGTAATAAAATAGAATTAATATTTAGAAATACATCATTAACCACTTTGAATTTTATCAAAGTTTTACATTGAATCCAAACAACTTAAAGATTTTGATTTTTATTTTGTAAGGCAAACACTTAAAAGCCAAACCAAAATCCATTCTGATTTTAGACTATCATTGGCAATAGTAAAACCCTGTCTTATAGGCTTACAGCTATTTTTCAGGCTCCCACCCCATTGATTTAGGAATTGAAAAATAAATTTATTTGTCTATATATTGTTTTAATTCAAGTTAGAATTTGATGAAGGAAGTCTCTAAATAAAACATTTTTGGTAGGGAAGAGGAAAATGTTTTTATAAGAAATTTCACTATCAGCAAGTAGTCTTTTTTTAACTTCCATCCTATTCTATCAGTGAGTAAGTCACCACAACTGAGGGGGTATATGAAGGTTTTTGTGTTTGGGGTGGGTTTTGTCAGTATCTTGGACCAGAAATCAGAGATCCTTGAAAAGCTTTTAACATATGTCAGAGTTTGCCCTTGTCACATTTACACTTAATACAGCTAAAATTACCATCTTGAAT